ATCGTAAATTTTATTTTGGGTGATATTACATTTATAACTTAATTTCATAAATTTTTTTTTACAATCTCTACGTAACAGTTCGTAATTGATACATTTTTAGTGGATTTATATGCTTAATTATGAATTATTACATCGAAATTGTGAGAAAAAATTTATGAAATTAGATTGAGACTCAATCATTATTGTTTTTTTTTTAATAAACTTTTAACGCGAAAATAACTTATTTAGAACCTAAAATGAGAAAAAAAAAAATGTATAATAAAATTAAAATTAAAGAAAATGCCAAGCGACACACGCTTTTCTAGCATCAATGATTATGATTATGAACAAATGCAAATATCATTTACGATGCAAGATTGGTGTTGATGTAGTCAACTTATTGCAATATTATATCATTATATCGATATGCGGCTACTTTTTCACAAAAAAAAATTATCAGGAGAATGTTTTAAGATTATGACGGTTGATTATATCGTAGTAAATGGTATATTCCAGCAATTAGTCACAATAATAGCAATATAAACATCATAATTTAAGCTGTTTCTATTTTCAAAATATTTTATTTATATTCTGAAAAAAAAAATTACACTTTTATTTCAGTTTTCTCAAAATCATATCCTATAGTATTCATCGTAATATTTAGAATTTACCTCGTTATGTATTTTTTTGATTTTTTTTGCACTTCTATCATCTTTTATCTATTTTATTGAAATTCCTAAAGAATAAGATTCATTGCAACCTCTTATAAAATATGAATATTTATTTTGGAAAAATAACCTTTACTTGTTAGGAAAATATAGAGAATAAAGTCTTTATTGAAAGTATAATTAAAAAAAAAAAAAAAGAAAAAAAAAACATATTCTCTAGGTGTGGTGGTGGACTGGTGGGATCTTAATTGATTCTCAACAAAAACTCATGGCTATGACACATCCATTGTGCCTTTATATCTCATCGTTGTTCGGCTGTCACGTGAGAAAATTATTATAATGATGTTACTTTTTGGCCCATGTTCTTTTCTACACCGTGTTTGTTATATATAAATAAGACTGATTCTCACAACCTTTTAAAAAAACCGCTTTTCAGCGCACCACTCACCTGAACAAGTTTAAAAGCTGTGGAAGAGCTTTTACATTCCATTAACTAAGAACAAACAGTCAAAACGGTGCAGGTGTATTGCGGCTATTGCCATTGTCCTTTGTGTTTCTCTAGTTTTGGTAAAATTCTATTTCAAATTTGCATTTTTGTAATTTTCGCTACAAAATAATAAAAAACCATTAAAAAAATCATTGTATAAATATCCAAAAACTTATTAGGCTGAGATTATTAAAAATTCTATATCTCAAATAAATTATCTAATAATTATACGGTGTCTCAATGATTTCAGAGTGAGTATATAGAATTAACCTTTTTTTTATAATCAAGGTGTTTGGACCAGTTTTTACACATCTTAATTAATTCTCGAGGTCTATTAAAAAAACTCACATTATAAATAAACAATAATGTAATTGTGATAGATGACTCCGATGTTTGAACCTAAAAACTCAAAGAAGATAATAAATCTCCTTAACTGTCGAGCTAATCCCTTAAAGTTAAAATGCTAACAAAAGTTTTTCAAATAAAATATTTAATGTATAATTTATACATATTTTAATTAAAGTTTAACAAAGTCTTTATTAAAGTTGTCATACAGTATTGGGATAGATTTTGAAAATTGAAAACAATTTCTTTCTAGAAAATTTTGGAATAAAGTTTGAAATAAATATGGAGAAAAAAAGAAAATAAAAAGGAGAAAGCTTTATGGTTGTCAACCATAATGATAATAAAATACATAAATTTAGGAGGAGGAGAAGGAGACAGATGTTGATATGAAAGGAGCCTAATGTGGAGACCCCTACACTACTCCTCATACAGTGAGTAGCACAATGAGAGTAATCTATTATTTAATTATAATGAAAATATTATTCATGCACGTCGTGACAGTATCAGCTTTTATTGATTCCCTTGGGCGTACGAAAAAGATTTCGTGATATTTGATTATGACATTTGCCATATCTTTTTTACCCCTTTATGATTTTATCATCATCTTTATATTCCGATTGTCTTTTCCCATTTCTAATAAAAATTCTTCATGTCAAAACTCATACCCAATTTATGTCTTAAGACTTAAATCATTATAACAAATTCCTAACAAAAAAACTCTCTTTTATTAATAAGTATTAACAAGATAAAACTTAATATATATATATTTCTTTTTTTTTGTTATCAGAGTGTCAGATCAACTTGGACGTACTTCAACTAATCTCTTGAAATCTTCATGAAGTGAACGATGGGATAAATTCTCTTAATGTTTACCCCAATTAGTGTTTGGAGAAACTCGAACTCAAAAACTCATATTAAACCTCTTTTGTTTTTTGACCGTCAGGCACCTAGATCCCAATCGTGATACATATATACAGAGAAATGTTTGCATATGGAGGGCCTCTTAAAATAGTGTTTATTCAATAGCACTGGTAACAAGAAGATATTTTGATTGACAAAAGGTGCAGACAAGAAAGCAACAATTTTCTTCATTTTATGAAACAAAATACAATATTGCAACATTATCATTTCTAAGAATTATTTTTTGTCTACCCAAAATTATGGGTATATTTGAAAGTATTAAATAAAGTGGACCCATATAGGCATATACCAAACAAAATTAAATTCACCACTAAAATCAAACCTTTAGGCTTTATAGGGCACTATAAAACCCCCACACGAATCAATTAAATCTAATGGCTCACCCAATTTCCAAAAATCAGTGTTCTTTTTTTCATGCTTGATGAACTACAACTAGTAAAAATTGACCTAATATTATTTGTGGGGACAATAATTAAATTCAAAATCTAACATTCTATGGTGGACAGCATGAATGAAGTGATATTTTAGTCATTCTTATTATAAGTATCAAATGGTTTTCATCTCAAAATGACTCATATTTTCTTTTTAAGTTATAATTTAATTATATCAATAGACGAAGATATGAATTCTATATATCATTAAAAAATTCTCATATTTATGAAGCATTGATGCTTTTTACTTTAATCAAAATTTCTCATATCATTTTTTAAAATAGTAATTATTAAAAATATAATAACATTATTTATAAAAATTACGGCCTGTTTAATATAGAATTTAAATACAAGTTTTTTTTTTTTTTTGAACATAAGAACTATAAAAAAATATTATAAAATATGGTTGGTGGAAATGAGTCGAAATGTTTTCAAAAATAATTTTTAAATACAATCATAAAACTAGTGTAAAATAAAAAAATGATTAAAAACTTTTTTATTATTATAGTTTTTAATCTATATAAATTTTTTGAATATTATATCAAATATTAAGATATATCTCAAAATTTTGAATTATATTTTAATTTTTAAAACTTATTTTCGGATTAAAAATTATATTGTAGGGTTGGAATCTCTTACTGATCAAAAAATGAAATTCAAGATTCTTCCGACATCATAAGTATGGACCTATGGCTATGGGTCTTTTAGGCCGACAAATATCTCTCAAACATAATACCCATTTGATGGTCTCGTCGAATAAAATCATATTATTGTCACAATGAATATTTAAAATTAGCGAAATTATTTCACCTCCCCTAATTTTTGCAATAAAACATTAAGACCCCTAACCTTATCCATCATGCCAATTGAGAATAATACTAAAGGAGTGGTATTAGAAGAATTATTTGGAAATTCTCAAAGTGTGGATCATATCTTATTTTTAATATTTTCCCCCTCCCTGTCACTGTCCCGTTAGACTTTCCGTTAATTAACTAACACATTTTACATTCAATCTGTTAATGGAATATTGACTGACGGAAGAGGTAAATTATTATTTATGATGGTTGATGGTAACAATTGTTATTTGCATAAACCATGGGAATATTGTATTTTATTATATGATTCCCAAAAATCTGTTGAATGTGAAGCACGGGATTTGGAATTTCTGTGTTCTTGGATAAAGATTAATGCCGCCTGCTGCATCTCACGTGCAAAAAGAAACTCACCAACAATAATGTGAAAATCAAAATCTAGCTTCATTTGGTTCATTATTTGATGATGTTTAGAATAATATTTTGAAAAAAATAAAATTGAATTATTTTTACGAGAAAAATAATTATTAATGTTTTGTAAAATAAATAAAATAGAATATGATTTTGAGAATATTGAAATATACGCATTTTTTGGGTTTTTAAGATATAATAGTAGAAAATATTATTTGAAAATATGAGTAGTTCCTTGAAATAAACATTTGGCCCCATTTGGCTATGAGATTCTGTGTCAAAAAGAATCATATTTCACTTCTTTCACATCTCAACATTTCAAACATTACACACCATGCACAAAACCCAAATACCCCACACCCACACTCTTATCATCACAATATTTCGCAATTTTCCCTCCTTCTGCCTACCTATGTCCCCACCCCCTTTATTTTTTGGATATTCGAGAATGTCCAGACCAACTTACGAGTACCTCAACTAGCCTCTCGAAGCCTTAAAGTTAATAGCCAAATAAACTTCCAGTGGCTACCTCTTATTAGCAGTCATAAAGATTTAATTTTAGGACCTCTTGAACCGTCAAACTACTAGAGGTAGTTCAATATTTCTCCTTTTACCTTTTAAATTTCCATGGTTTTGTTTCAACCATAGTAGTATAGTGGGTTTGATATAAGATATAAAACCCAAATATCTTTGCCCATTTAGATATCAGTACAAACAGCCCATCACTATTTACACAGCGAGATTCCTCAGATAACTTCTGTTTCAAGTTCATCATTTGATTGCTCTTTTACAAACCCCAAGTACTAAAAATTAGTTGTAAATTATAAAATTTTCATTTAGCTTCTCAGCAGCCTAAAAACTATTTGAATTTAATTATTTCCACAAATAAAAATAAGATAAAAAGTTTTCTGCGCTTATGCGCCATCGCGTTGGTCTAAGAGAAAATAATGAGCGAGCAGAAATGGTGGAACAGCAGCCTTCAATATCACTATCAGAGAGGTCTCTTCTGTCAAATAAGCATGAATATAAGCACTAACATCAAGATGTACATTTAACCATCTTGCCAAAGACTATTAGCAGTTAGCGTTTTCTGTCACACTTTGATAATATGGACATACAGATTTAAGAACATGTACATCTAAATAAACTATATCCAAACCACGATCGATCCTGAGAATGGCGCCTAAGTTTTTGAACTTATCAACTGCTGACAGATCCGTCAAAACCTTGCACGAAAATCCATTAAACCAAAAACAATCAGATTAATACATAAATAATAGCATCATATGAATTGGAAAGTTTGTAGGAGGAAGAGGAATACGAAATGAAAAAACAAAAGCTCACCATCAAGTTAACTTGCTTCAATGTAAAGGGGTAGAGCATAATGGCCTGCAGATGAATTGAGCTCTGATTATGAAAATTATAATAAGATATTAAGTTAGCGATATGTAACAGTTTAGAGTGTGAAGTAAAAGAAACTCAAAGAAAATGAACATACCATCAGACTCCGTCCATAACCAGTCCCGTGCACATATCAAGGCCTGTCGAGTATCAGGATTCAATGAACTTCGACAATCATCAAGGACTCTACCTCCCTTGATGAATGCAGATTCTGGAACAACAGTCGACATAGGAGTTCCCAATACATCACGTGCCATCATGGACAATATGGGGTACCTTGGTGTGTGTACTTTCCACCAATTTAATATGTTGAAGTCACAATTACGAGGAAAGACTGGTTCCTCTAAGTACTTCTCCAAGTCTGATACTACATTTTGACTTTTAGAAGTCTCATGGAGGAATTTGTCAAAGCCCTTTAATTTATCCCTACTGTCACTACTAGTGCTAGGTAAGCTGCTTCCAGGCAAAGCTGAACCTTGATCAACCAAGGTTGAGCAGATAGAGTAGGCATTGAACAGCTCCTTAACACCGTCAGAAACTTCCTTTATTCGTTCCAGAGCAGTACTACCATAAATCTGAGAATAGTAATACTCCACCAGCTTCATCTTAAATCTCGGATCTAAGATTGCTGCCACTGCCAAAGCCAAACTGCATTTGCTCCAAAATTTGTCAAACTTAGTTTTCATCTTTAATGCTGTGGAGCTCAGGAATTCATCTGGGCTCTTACACCAGTCAATTAATTGGATATGGACATCACAAACCTCGGGAAAATATATATTTGCAGTGGGAAATTTGTTGCCAGAAAAGACATTGGTAATTTCGACAAAAAGTTTTAGATAGCCAGTAATGGCACTTGCCCATTCCCACTCTGTATCAGTTAAAGCTGATGAGTACTCAGGATCGTGCTCTTGTAGGACACTAAATGCATTTCTGTATTCTAAGGCGGTTTCCAGCATGATATATGTTGAGTTCCATCGAGTTGAACAATCAATAACTAAGCTCCTCTGACTGTTAACCTCAACTTGCCGGGCAATCTCATTAAACTTTCCTTGTGTTACTTGTGAACTTTTAACATATCTAATGCTTCCTCGAATTTTCTGAGTCACATCTCGGAGTGCTTCCAAAGCATCCTGAACAATCAAATCTAGAACATGTGCAGCAGAACGGACATCAAACAATTGACCATTACTTGAAAGAGGCCTACTTTGTGATATGTGTTCTTTAATTTTGGGGACAATATCATCATCAGTTGAACAATCATCAAATGTCAAGGCAAACAATTTACAATCAATATCCCAGTCCATAAGACACTTGATAATCACTTCTGAAAGCATGTCATCCGTATGGGAGGAGTCAAGAGTGATGAAATTCAGGATCTTTTTCTGTAATCTCCAATCCTCATCAATATAATGTGCCGTCAAACACAAGTATTCAGCATTTTCTGCTGAAGACCACATTTCCACAGCTAGGTTAATTCGGCCTTGCAATCTACTTAAAAAATCGTACACTTTCTGTTTCTCTTTCCCATAAATCTCCATACAAGAAAGCTCAATATCATTGTTTGGAGCAACCTCAAACATTGGCTGAAGATTCTTGACAAATACTTTGAATCCAACATGATCCACCATGGCCAATGGATAACCATGTAATATAATCATGTGGGCAAGATCGAGACGACTCCGCTCTTGATCAAACCTACAACTCCCAAGGTTTACAACTTCGTCTTTTCTTTGCTCTGGTTCATACTTTATAAGGGGCTTAATATACTCATCTTTTCTTTGCCCTTCATCAAAGCTGATATCTGTAAGGGTAACACTAGTATCCTTTTTCCTTCTCTTTGCGGCAAGTAGTTGAGACACATCATAATTAGATCTTTTCAGACACCGCATTAGATGATTCCTTAGATGTGTAGTTCCACTATTACTTGATCCACTAAGTTTTTTATTACAATGCACACAAACCGCATAACATACATCACCCTTTCTAACCCGTTCAAAGTGATTCCACACAATAGATGTTAACCGCTTCGGTTTTTTGGTAGCTGATTCATTTGCCACTTCCATTGCATAGACTTTAGATAATCCAAATTCTGCATATCATTAGAGATCAGGTCAAAATGCAAACAGGTCACAATACTGGTAAAGGGCTATACCATAATAGCAAAACCTAAGATACTATTTGAGAACACCCAGGAAATTAAAATGCTTAAAAGTCAATACATACTATAAACCAATATGATTTTAGATAGATGATTAGGTCCTCTGAGTTGCTAAATTTATAAACCAAATGTTGCTAAAACAGACAAACTTGAAGAATTATAAAGTGCAATTTAAAAGCAATGAGACAGTTCCAACAATATTGGTTGATCTCATGTTTGTAAATTTGTAAGCCAAAAATCTGAGCCAATTATCTTGGGATTATTTGAAGCTAAATGAAAATTTTATTATTAAATTCAGATCTTTGTAAAATTACTCATATTGGATTTGTTAGCTAGAAAGTAACCAAGTGCATGGATGCATTTTAGCCTCGATTTTACTGCATCATTTGAAGATATAAGGAAGATGGAACTTATAATAGCATTCTACAGATCATTAGTTCTTTATTTAAGATTTGCGCTACGATTCCTTCACTTTTCTTATAGTTTCCTGAAACTAAACACAGAGAAAGAAACAAATCCAAAGTAATCATATGGTAATTTAAATTCCAAAAAAATATTTAATATTGAGATGAATTCAATCTTCCTTACAGAGATACAGTTACACATAAATCATATACATTAAATGAAGCTAAAATACATCCTTGCATTTGGATAAAGATGAAGCCACCTAAACCAATCTACTTAAGTGCAAACATGATAATATTGAATCAAATATCCCATACAAAGTCATTCACAAGAAAAGGATCAGAACTGCAAAACAAATTATCTCAGCATCATGTATAATAAATCAGAACCCGCAAATAAATTCACAATTCTCCCAAAGAATAAGTAAAAAAGTTGCAAAAGTTTTAACAACACTAACAGCTTTCTACTTCAATTTCCTCTGTGATCACAAAATTCTAGGTATAGATCAATAGAAAAAAATGGTCCAATTGGACTGTTTCTAGTGGACATGCCCACACTTGATCATAAAACTATATAAATCCATGTTCAACAACCTAATAGAAAATGATAAATCAATTTAAATTCATCTCAAATTCAAAACTTTGAAGAAACAACAAAATCACACATTTCAACACTAAAAAAGCATAATTTCAGCACTAAAAAAGCATAATTTCAGCTCAATTAAACTCTAAAACCTTGATTTCAACGTGTAAGTCAAAATCAAACAAATGGGTCATATGAAATTCACTAAAAAAACCACACAAGCAAACTCAGAAACAGCAGTATATCAAAATTAAACAATAGGTCATCTCAAATTCCACCATTAAAATGCAAAATTGCAAGAACAAAATCTCAAATTCAACAAAAACGAACCATTAACAAGCTCAATTACGGCAATTCATCAGATTTAAACAGACCCAAATGAAAAAAATTGAACTGAAAAACAAAGCTTAAAATGGGGATAATTAAACGTAATCTGAAGTGGGTCTTACAGAGATTATTCCGAAAGAGCATTACTGAAGAGAGTCCGATCGGAGGATCCGGAAGGATTAGGGTTGGGTCGTGAAGAGAAAACGAGAGAGCGATTGGATCCGAAAAGATTAAGAGAAGGGAATTTGGGCAAGATCCGAATAAGAGTAAAAACTGTACCCAGATAAAATCTGGTTGGTTGGTATGACTTGGGTTTGGTTTGGGCGGGTCAACGCTAAGTTTAGGTAATTTTATTTTATAAATTTTTTCATTTATTTCCTTTTTGTAATGAGAAAAATAATAATTAATTTTTAATTAAAGGGAATGAAATGACTTTGCACAAAATAAGAAATGAAAATAATTTGAATTTTGATGATAATGAGGTAAGATTTTATTTGGACCGTTTTGGCTAACCCGTTTGGGGTCTGATTGTGAAGGGTTAGGTTTAGTTTGGTTCAGTCGAAATTGGAGCTCATCAAATTAGGTTGAGTTAGGTTTCAAATTTGGTACTTTATGGAACTTTTAGAATTATTGCATAAACTAGAAATGGGATATGCGCGTTATACATATATGTTTATTTAATATTTTTGGAATAGGTTGTAAAAATAACTTCTATATATATGTACAAGTTTTAGAGTAAATAAAACTTTTATATATATACAAGTTGTGTTAACATAAAATTAATAATTGTATCTTTATAATTATTAATATCAATTAATATTATGAAAATCAATTATTTGAACTTAAAATTTATATTGAATTCATTTTCAGGTTTGATATTGACTGTTTTGCTCACAGTATAGGATTCTTTCCAAGCTAAGGTTTGAAAACAGACTAATTTTCATCTTTATACGTTTTTCTTGAAAATTGTTAGATTTTTGGAATGTCAATGTAAGGTACTTATATAATTATTGTTAGTACTCATCCAATGTGTGAAGATGGAAGAATTAAATAAAAAGTAACGTGTTATGATGGAGAACAATTTTCAATCAATTAATGAGCAACACCAAAATCAAGATAAAATTGAATATAGAGAATAATACTTTTATTATAAAAGAAATAAGTACGTCATTTTTTTATACTGTGAAGTGGGTTTGGACAATATAGACTTTATTTTCTATTTTTCTTATAGTTGTTTAGTTCCTCTAGTGCATATGCATACTCTTCTTTGTTTAGGTTATAAATAACATCCATGGAAAATTCCATGATTTGTAATAGCTGGTCAATGACTTATGCGAATTTGTCTCTTGCAGTATGTAGATTATTTAGATTGTTCTCAACTTTTTTGAAAATCTCCCTCAATTCCGGAATTCCTTGAAAAATGTCTAAACCAATTGCAGAAACAATATACAATCAATTTTTATAAATATATGGAAACGATAACATGAATGTGTAAATATAATTATCAGATGAACTCTCGACATATTAAAAAAAATTTTTTTTAGTGGTTTTTATATTCCCGCAAATATGTATCATGATTTTGTTTGCCATTTTGTAATTTAGGATACAAAGGATGTGGAACATTTATACCTTCTGGTTGCCTCGGTGGAGAATTATTATTGTTGAGGTTGTTGCTGGTATTCGTTGAAAATTCTTTTGGTTGTGATGTTTTGTCAGCCATTTTCGAATAAGTTTTGGAGAAGAAATGAACAATTACATTGTGTAGTATCTGAAGAAAGTTAAATGGGTGATTGATGTCAGAGCAATATTTATAGGAGAATAGGATAAGAAAAGGTGGAATATGAACATGCATCTGGTAATAAATAAACGTGTCGATTGAAAAAGGATTAATAATTGTTTGGAAAATGTAATACAAAACGTTGGTAGAATATCTGTACAATATTAAAGAAAATCGTAATAAATATTTTGTTAAGTGTTTAGCATATTAGTTAGGTAGTTGTTAATAATGGTTCGGCAAGATGTTGAGTTATTATGATAAAGAAACAATGTGATTTACTAATAATAAAATCTTATTAATACATTTTCAAAGATGGACAATAAATATTTTGTCAAGTATCAAAATAATACTTATAGGAGTACAAGATGCGAAAAGGTGGAATATGAACAGCCATCTGGTAATAAATAAACATGTCAATCGAAGAAGTGTTAATAATAATTTGGATAAGGTAATATGAAACGTTAGTAGATTATCTGTACAATATTTAAGAAAATCGTAATAAATATTTTGTTAAGTACGCGGATATTAGTTAGGTAGTTAATAATGGTTCGGCAAGATGTTGAGTTATTATGATAAAGAAACAATGTGATTTATTAATAACAAAATCTTATTGATACATTTTCAAATGATGGACAATAAATATTTTGACAAGTATCAAAGTCAGAGATAATATGATAATGTGACAATATATTTATTAATTTTTTAGTTGTGGTTCGATAATATGGTTATGAAACATGCATATAGTTTGACTTTGATCTTTTTTGATCAATAATGATACAAACATTTTTTTTAATGTGTAATAAAATGGTTATTTCTAGTTTAAAAAAAAAATTAAGATTATAATATATTTAGATTGATGTTTGTTGTATATGTTCAATTTTTTAACATAATGTTTGAACAATTTCTAGGGTACTGTATCACTTAGTATGAAAGTTGCTATGAGAAAATTAACAGACATCTAACAACAGGTAGACACGTTGATTGAAAAAGTCTTGACAACCTGTAGCAAAACTGTTTGTGGTGCATTAAAGGAAAGCGTAATAAATAGTTAACAATGGTTAGGCAGGCGGGTTTCAAAAATATGTTGTGGTTCAGTGTAGAATTCAATCTAATGAATAATGGAATGAAAATTTATTTTTATATGTTATAGGAACGATATTTAGATTACTGTTTGTTGAACATTTTTAATTATTTGAAATTGTCATAATCATTGGTGTTTAATATTTTTTATTAAATATTGCTTACGTTTTATTGATCATTGTAATCTTGTGATGAATTTCTTTTTATAAGTTATTAAATATTTGGATCAATCATTGATAATTGAGTGAGTTTTAACTTTTATTTTCAGATAAAACTAAAATGCATTTATATCTGTACATGTGCAAGAAATTACATACGAAAGTTACTAAAAATTAAATTTCATATAGACTATTTGGTAATCCATGTTACATCTATGATATGTGATATTTTCTGGTGACGTTGATCTGTCCCAATGTATACAATTTTGATTTTTCTTGTTGCAAGTCCCAAATATTCGTCTCTTAATGAGAATTGTTGTAGTTGGAGTCAGGGCTTGAATTCTTTGTTGTAGTTGGAGTCAGGGCTTGAATTCTTTCTTGCAATATTCTAGTTTGTAGAAATGATTAGGTAGTTTTACTAATTTCATTAGAATTTGTATACCTTTGTTGTCATGTGCAGTAAGCAAAGCAACGGCAGTGTGATATATTGCTAGCATGTTATATTTTTGGCAAACTATAATCAGTAGTTTTAATCTCAATGTGTTCCCAACAGTAGCAAAGCTTGTTTATTTTCTGCTTCTGCAAGTGTCTTCAGAATTGAAAGTCTCACTGTCGTTATTGTTGGTAGTTTGTGTTGTTGTTTCGAAATGTCCATTCTTTTTAATATTTGTTTTATGTTTGCTTGTTTGTTCAGAGATTTGCACTTGTAAATTGTACGGTAAGTAATGGGTTTGAAGCACAAGATTCATAATAGTTAAAAAAAAAAAAAAAAAAATCCACAATTGGGAATGATAATACCATTACCTTATGATTAAGCAATTAAGAATAAATAAGTGTACCAAATATGACTCACTTAAATATGGATCCTGAAATGCATTTTGTTTTTTGTTTATTAGAAAACTATTAACAACTAAAGATGCAGATGGTTCGGCAGAGTCATTTTTATGATTAATCGTTATTGTTATAAGACTGCTGCGGAACAAAGTACTATCTTATTGTTGTTAGTTGTATATTCAACCATTTTGTATAATATCATTTTCTGTGTGAGTAAGAAAACAATGAAATCAATAGATTAATGAAATACGATGGTTTTAGTAAAACTTACGTTAACCGTATTGCTTGTAAAGCAGTGTGATCTTTGTCGGTTACTTTTACAATGATTCATTGTAGAATTTTTTATGGTAATTGTAACAGACCTGTGGGTTGTTTTTTTTGTTAATTTGAAAGGAATCATGATGTCTTGGTGCTGTTTTTTGGATGCAAGTATATGTAAATTATGTTTTTTGGTGCTGTCTTGGTGGTTTATATAGTTCGCGTGTAGGTAGCGAACAGTTTTTTTTTTTTTGGTATTTCAACTGCTTAGATAATGTTCTGTTTATTATTAATAGGAGTCAACGTTCTTATCTGAATTTGGTTTTTAATAGTTTTGTGAAATAATGATAGTTGTATTAATCATTTAATGTCAAGTCTTACTTATATTATGTAAACGGTTTGTATTCATGTTAATTTCTATATAGGTATATTAAATATTTTAGATATTTGATTAGTACGCACATTGTACAACACAAGATAGCATCAAAATATCAATCACATCAATCAAAAAGTATAATGAGAAGTGTATTGATGTTATTGATGGATGTATTCTGTTTAATTAGGAATACAAAAGAAACAGATGGAATATGAATAAAGATATTATAATAAATCAACATGGTTGTTTAAGAAGAATAAGATCTATCTGGCATGAGTTCAATAGAAAGGATGAGAAGAATAAATTGGAAAAATAACATCGATTGTACGATTAAACCACATAATATTCAGGTAGTTTTCTCAACTTGCATGAGTGATTTAAGTTCGTATCACTTTAATGTTATGTAAATTATTTATTTAAAATTTAAAAGTACTTATTTGTTTTTTGAGAATACAAAAGGTGCTTTGGGAAAACCAATAAATGTCTAATAATAAGTAAACATATTGATTCAAAAAACGTTAATAACTTTTTGGATATGAGGATATGAAACGGTAGTAAACGTAATAAATATTTTGTTCAGTATTCAAGTAAGAAACGTCATGATGATATTATAAGTTATTGCCTAGATTGTGAATAATGGTTTAGGGTTTAGTGTATTGATGTTATCACATGACATAATCAAATTTAATTTGGTTGATAAAAAAAAAATGATTTATCTTAATGTGTTACTCGAGGTTGTAAACAAATTTATTGTAACAAAATAAAGTAATTAGATTAAGAGATTCTAATTGTTAGATTATACAAGTTTTAGAGTAAATATAACTTCTATATATGTATAGAGTTGTGTTAACATAAAATTAATAATGGTACCTTTCTAATTATTAACATCAATTAATATTATGAAGATTAATTATTTGAATTTAAAATTTATATTGAGTTCATTTTCGCTTTTGACATTGACTAGTAATTTTTTTTCTCACACTATAGGATTCTTTCCAGTCAAGATAATTTATCTATGTAATATACTTATATATTTATTATTAGTACTCATCCAATGTGTGAAGATTGAAGAATTAAATCAAAACTCAGGTGTTATCATGGAGCACAATTTTCAATCAATTAATGAGTACACTAAAATCAAGATAAAATTGAATATACAGAATAAAACTTTTATTATAAAAGAAATAAGTACATTGCTTTTTCATACTGTGAAGTGGGTTTGGACAATATAGTCTTTATTTTCTATTTTTCTTATAGTTGTTCAGTTACTCTAGTGTATATGCATACTCTCTTTTGTTTAGGTTATAAATAATATCCATGGTAGATTTCATGATTTGTAACATCTGGTCAATGACTTCTCTAAATTTGTCTCATGCAGTATGTAGATCATCCAGATTGTTCTCAACTTTTTTGAAAATATCCCTCAATTCTGGCATTCCCTAAAAAAATGTCTAAAACAATTGCAGAAACAATATACAATCAAATTTTATAAATATATGGAAACGTTAACATGAATGTGTAAATATAATTATGAGATGAATTCTCGACATATTAAAAAAAAAAATTTTAACGGTTTTTATATTGTAGCAAATATGTATCATGATTTTGTTTGCGATTTTGTATATAGCCAACAAAAGATGTGCAATATTTATACCTTCTGGTTGCTTCGATGGAGAATTATTGTTGTTGAGGTCGTTGCTGGAATTCGTTGCAGATTCTTCTGGTTGTGATGTTTTGTCAACCATTTTTGAATTAAGTTTTGGAGAAGAAATGAACAGTTAAAATGTATAGTATCTGAAGAAAGTTAAATGGGTGATTGATGTCAGAGCAATATTTATAGGAGAATAGGATATGAAAAGGTGGAATATGAGCAGATAACTGGTACTAAATAAACGTGTCGATTGAAAAAGTGTTAATAATTATTTGGATAAGGTAATACGAAACGGTAGTAGACTATCCGTACAATATTAAAGAAAACCATAATAAATATTTTGTTAAGTGCGCAACATATTTATTAGGTAGTTAATAATGGTTCGGCAAGATGTTGAGTTATTATGATAAACAAACAATGTGATCAAAGTCAGAGATGATATGACGATGTCACAATATATTTATTAATTTTTTAATTGTGGTTCGGTAATATGGTTATGAAACATGCATATAGTCTGACTTTGATCTTGTTTGATCAATAATGGTACAATTTTTTTTTTTTTAAATGTGTAATAGAATTGGTTATTTCTAGTTTTTTTTTTTTTAATTAAGATTATAATTTATTTAGATTGATGTTTATTATTAATAGGAGTCAGTATTGTTATTTGAATCTGGTTTTGAGAATACCAAAGGTTCTTTGGGAAAACAAATAAATGTCTAGGAATAAGTAAATATGTTGATCGAAGAAACGTTAATAAGTTCTTGTATAAAAGGATACGAAACGGTAACAAACATAATAATTATTTTGTTAAGTATTCAAGTTAGAAATGTGATGATGATATTATAATATATTGTTTGTATAGTGAATAATGGTTCACCGGTCGTGCTTCAAATGGATGTTATCATTTGGTGTGGGATTTAAATTGGTTTGTAACAGAATCGAAGTTTTTTTCGATGTGCGATAGGAATGTTTATTTATAGATTTTGTTAATTTACATTATAATATATTTAGATCGATGCTTGTCAAGCATGTGTAGACAATCCAATGATAAAATTGAATATAGAGAATATTACTTTTATTGAGATACTTTTACATGTGTAATAAATAATATAAAGAGCTCACTAAAAATTATATTTCATACATACTATTTGCTAATCTACGTTACATGTTGGACATGTGATATTTTTTGGTGATGTTGATCTGGTCCAATTTATACGATTTTGATTCTCTTTGTGGCAAATCCGAAATATTCTCCTTTTAATGAGAATTGTCGCAGTTGGAGTCATGGACTTGAACACTTCCCTAGAATTTTTCGTTTGTGGAATTGATTGGTTGCTTTCACTAATTTCATTAGAATTTTTACACCTCTACTGTTGTGCATAGTGATTAGAGCAATGACGGTCTGATACATTGCTTACTGGTTATCTTGTTTGCAAGATGCAATAAGTAGTTGTAATCCTTTGTTTCTATCATGTTCTACGAAGAACAAATGCGTTCCAAGCAGTAGTGAAGCATGGTTATTTTTTGCTTCTGCAAGGATCTTCAGAATTGAAAGCCTTGCAGTTGTTATTGCTGGTAGTTTGTGTCATTGTTTGAGGATGTTTCTTCTATGTAGGACTTGCTTTACTTTGGACTGTTGGTTTAGAGACTTGCACCTGTAAATTGTAAGTTAAATAATGGTTTTCAAACACAAGATCCAAAAAAAAAAAAAAAAAAAAAAAAGAAGGGTGTAAATAATAGTTTCAAACAGTTGGTAATCATAATAACATTACTTGTATGAAGAAGAAGTTAACAATAGAAAAGTGTGAAAAATATGTTCAGTTAAATATCCATTCTAACATGTATTTTGGTTTTTATATATTAGAAAGCTGTTAAAAATTAAAGACACAAGTGATTCGACATAATCCGTTTCAATTGTTGGGAGTTGACATACGGTTTTCTATATGACTAACAAAAAAATGAAATTAACAGATTAACAAAACATGATGATATTAGTAAAACTTATGTTAATCGTATTGCTTGAAGAGTGGTGTTGTTATTCTGAATTGCTTTTGCAATGATTCATTGCAATATTTGTGATGGTAATTGTAACAGGTTTGTGAGTTGTGTTTTTGTTCTTTTGTAAGGAATCATGCTGTTCTGGTGGTGTTTTTTTCGGTGTAAGTATATTGAAATTATAAAGTTGTTATGGTGTTAGTGGTTTATATAATTTTTGTGTAGATATTGGATAGCAAACAATTTTCTGTGTGTTTGGATTTGGTAGATATTATTGTGTTAATTATTAATGAGAATAAGTGTTGTTATTTTTTAAACTCGTTTTTAGTATTTTTCTAAAATAATGATGATATTTTTATTTTGTTGAACATTAATTACTCGATTTTGTTATATATATCAAATATCGTTCCTTCATTGTTTATTCTACCAAGCAAAATTGATTATTCTATTCAACGAATATAAACTTTTTTGTTCATAATCATTTAATGTTAAGTATCAATTTATCTTAAGTGTAAACAGTTTGCATTCATCTATATCTGTACAAAGGTATATTAAGTATTTGATACATTCGATTAATACGAATCTTTTTAAATTCATATAACTTAATGTATTGGATGATATTTTTTGCATCGTACATGAAATATGTGCATATCTTATGCAGGTGTCTGATGCTCTGAAAGTTCTATGAGATAATTGGGCAACTATTCAAATGAAAGAGGTTGCCTCTGCTATAAGAAGATGGGAGGATCTGAACACTGACTTATTGGTAAAAATCTTCTTGTGTTTTGATGTTTTGCAGTTGACTTTAGGCATTGCTCAAGTTTGTAATTCATGGCATTCAGCTTGCCGTGATCCTCTGCTTTGGAAAACTCTTGATTTGTCAATGTTGAGATCAAATTTGATCAAAATCCCATCAGAGCCATATGTTTACGTGGATGAGTGTTCTGATAAGGCATTGACTCGTTTGTTGAAAATTTCATTGAGTCTTAGTCAGGGATAGATAAGAACCTTGATTTTTCACTTCAATGTGTATGCAGGGGATGGACAATTTACTTATATTGCTGAAAGGTAATTTTTTTATGTTTCTGTTTAAAACCTTGTTGAAAGGTAATTTTGTTTTTTTATTCTCGCTGTTTATTGACTGACTCTTTGGCATTGCCTTTGGTACCAGTGATCATCACCTTTAATTTTCTTTTTGGTACAGGGAATTGGGAAGTAACGCACCATATATTGTTGTCTGCAGGTGCCCCCATCTGAGGCGTCTCGTTATGCCAGCTTGGAATAGAATAAAGAAGGATGTAATTTGCAAGGCCATTAGTACATGGAGATCTCTCGAATCCCTGACAATGCCTAGTATAGTAAATCCACCTTATCTTATAGAGGAAATAGCCGTAAACTGCAAGAACTTCAATGAACTCAAGATCATGGGTCCTTTTGATATTCTCTTTGATTCTATGATAGTCAAATTTCTTCCAAGGTTGAAGGTTTTGAGCTTGAGATGCTCAGCGATAGTTAAGGATGCCCTATTGCTTATATTGGATGACCTACCAAATCTGGAAGTCCTCAACATATCACATAGTCTTCTTATAGAAGGTCCACTTCTTTCTCCAGTGATGCCCAAAAAAATTATTAAGAAGCCAGATAAAATTATCTTGGAAAAGGCTGCTCGATTACGTGAGTTCTTAACATGTATTGAGCACTCGTGCATCATGTGTTAGCGTACTTGAAGTGATGAAGGCTTTATGAGGTGGTACAAGATGAGGAAGGTCTATGAAAAATGGATGAGGTGAGGTCTCTTGCTCTTTGATTAGGACGCTATAGAGACTGTAGTTTTAATATTTTGTTTTGCTTGTATGTAATATATAGATAATATGTTGAGTAAGCATATATAGAATTGGTCTGTTGTGTTTTAGGTTGTCATACTCTTAAGGCTTTCTTTTAGGTCGTCAACATTGTAATACTTGCATGATGATCTTCTCCCATGAGAAAAGTATTATCTGTCTGCATAATTATGTACACATGTTAAAATTTTACTTTCTGTTGTTTCAAATTTATCTTTCGTTATTCATTAATGTTATTTCAAAATGAAGTGGTTTCAAAATAATACCCAATTGAGTATTTTATATATTTCAATTCATGTCATTTATTTTGTAATTGTTATTGTGAAATTCATTTCTATTGTCAGGTTTAGTATTTGATAGTGAGATTTCGAAGGAATCTTTGAGTTTCACTTTTTTTATACTTTGATGATAAGTTATAGTGATATTGTTTGGTTGAAGTGGTAATATTAAAGTTTTACTGTGTGCTGTCGTTTTGGCTTTGTAAAATTCGTAAATGATGAAAAACGTTGTCGTTTAAAATGTTGTTGATACTTAAAGAAAACATGTGGAATTNACGTACCTCAAGTGGGGCGTTACACAATCCCACTATGGCCACAGATTTAATGTCATTGCCATTTACTGAATTACCCAGTGAGATAAATTTTCCCATACCTAAGAGTGATGAATCTTTTGTCGATCCACCGTAGTCTCGATACACTTCTCAATATAGCCAATCACTACCGTATTGATAGCTATGAATAGAACTACATTGGGCTAGTGTCAAACTAAACCAATTGGTGCACAAGGCGCTCCAGTGATCTCAAGTCTAACAATCACATGAACCACCATCCGTTAGAGGATTTATTCCATAGACACTGGGGTTACCATCCATATAGAATCCTCTGGTGGGTTTATCCAGTGAACTTGCCTCTAGCACGCACCCATGCATTGAACCAGGTTGTCGGCAAACAACCTTGACAAGTGAGATCAGTCACTACCTTTCGACAAGGTCGTTCAACACTATGATAGCCTTACTGTATTATCTGTGTCCTTGGTCAGAATAATACTCGGGCTACAGACATTTCTGGAATGGCCACCATATGTGATCATAGAGTTCTAACTATCAAGATTTGAAACACTTGATACCCTCATCACGATTCTACCATCCTAAGGACATATATCATTACATAGACGATGTAGAAGAATATGCCTTTTATTGATAAATAAACATTTACTGCAGAGTCAATTTTACAATAATTGATTGGCTCTAGGGCACCTACTCTAACAGTCTCATTATGCCAGCTTGGAATAGAATAAAGAAGGATGTAATTTGCAAGGCCATTCCTACATGGAGATCTCTTGAATCCCTGACAATGCCTAGTATAGTAAATCCGCCTATCTTATAAAGGAAATAGCCGTAAATTGCAAGAACTTCAATAAACTCAAGATCATGGGTCCTTTTGATGTTCTATTTACTTCTACGATAGTCAAATTTCTTCCAAATTTGAAGGTTTTGAGCTTGAGATGCTCAGCGATAGTTGAGGATGCCCTATTGCTTATATTGGATGACCTACCAAATCTGGAAGTCCTCAACATTTCGCATAGTCTTCTTATAGAAGGTCCACTTCTTTCTCCAATGATGCTCGAAAAAATTATTAAGAGGCCAAAGAAAATTATCTTGGAAAAGGCTGCTCGATTACGTGAGTTCTTAACATGTATTGAGCACTCATGCATTATGTGCCAGCGTACTCGAAGTTATGAAGGCTTTATGAGGTGGTACAAATATGAGGAAGGTCTATGGAAAATGGATGAGGCGAGGTCTTTTGCTCTTTGATTAGGAAGTTGTAGAGACTGTAATTTTAATATTTTATTTTGCTTGTATGTAATATATATATATAATATGTTGTTGAATAAGCATATATAGAATTGGTATGTTGTGGTTTAGGTTGTCATACTCTTAAGGCTTTCATTTTAGGTGGTCAACATTGTAATACTTGCATGATGATCTTTTCTCATGGGAAAAGTATTATCTGTCTACATAATTATGTGCACATGTTAAAATTTTACTTTCTGTTGTTTCAAATTTATCTTTCGTTATTCATTAATGTTATTTCAAAATGAAGTGGTTTCAAACTAATATGCAATTGAGTATTTTATATATTTCAATTTATGCTATTTATTTTGTAATTGTTATTGTGAAATTCATTTCTATTGTCAGGTTTAGTATTTGATAGTGAGATTTTGAAGGAATCTTTGAGTCTCGCTTCTTTTATACTTTGATGATAAGTTATAGTGACATTGTTAAGCTGAAGTGGTAATATTAAAGTTTTACTGTGCGCTGTCGTTTTGGCTTTGTAAAATTCGTAAATGATGAAAAACTTTGTCGTTTAAAATGTTGTTGATGCTTAAAGAAAACATGTGGAATTAATAGGTCATATAATTTTTAAACTTCTATTGTCATGCATAGTGATTAGAGCAATGGCGATTTGATACATTGCTTGCTGGTCATCTTATTTGCAAGCTGCAATGAGTAGTTGTAATACTCTATTTCTATCATGTTCCACAAAGAACAAATGTGTTCCAAATAGTAGCGAAGCATGCTTATTATCTGCTTCTGCAAGGATCTTCAAAATGGAAAGACCTGCTATTGTTATTGCTGATAGTTTGTATCGTTGTTTGAAGATGTTTCTTCTCTGTAAGACTTCCTTTACGTTTGTTTGTTCATTTAGAGATTTGTATCTGTGATTTGTAAGGTAAATAATGGTTTTCAAACAAAAGATCCACAATAATAATAATAATAATAATAAAAGGTGTTTTCCAAACAAAAGATCCACAACAACAACAAAAAAAAGTGTTAATAATTGTTTCGAGAGCTGGTAATCATAATATCATTACCTGTAGGATCAAGAAATTAACAATTACAAATTTTAAGAAAACTGTAATAAAGAACTGTTAAGAACTAAAGACACAAGTGATTCGGCATAATCGGCTTCAATTATTGGAAGTTGAAATACGATTTTCTGTATGACTAAGGAAATAATGAAATGAACAAATTAACGAAATGCGATGATATTAGTAAAACTTATGTCAACCGTATTGCTTGAAGAGTGGTGTTGTTATTCTGAGTTGCTTTTGCAATGATTCATTGCATAATTTGAGATGGTTATTGTAATAGATTTGTGAGTTGTATTTTCATTTTTTTTAAAGGAATAATGATGTTTTGGCAGTGTTTTTTTTTTCAGTGTAAGTATATGGAATTTATGATGTTATTATTGTCTTAGTGGTTTATATAATTTTTGTGTGGGTACTGGATAGCGAACCGTTTTCTGCGTGTTTGGATTTGGTAGATAATATCATGTTAATTATTAATTTTGAATATGTTTTATTTTTTAACATTTTTATAAACAGTTTTGCCTAATATTGTTATTAAATGTCTATTAAAATATTAAATATTGTTCATGTTTTTTCCAGTATTTTAGTCTTCTAATTAAAATTTCGTTACTTCACATTAGAATATATATTGACTTGTTTTATCTAAATAGAAATAGAAAATAAACGGAGGGAATAAATTTGAACTCATTTTTATGCGAGAATTTTTGTTACAATATAATAGTTGCTCCGGGAAAATTAACGGACATTTAATAAGAGAAAGACATGTTAATTGAAAAAGTGTTGACAACTTATTGGGTGATGAGACACGAAACGGTAGCAAATCGTTTGTAACGCATAGAAGGAAAGTGTAATCAGTAGTATTTTTGTAAATTAATGATGGTATTTCTATTTTGTTGAACATTAATTATTTGGTTTTGTTATGTATATCAGAGTTGTTTCATTGTTGTTTCTATCGAGAAAAATTGATTATTGTAGTCAAGGATTATAGACTTTTTTGGCCATAATCATTTAAACGGTTTGCATTCATCTATATCTCTACGCAAGTATATTAAGTATTTGATACATTCGATTAGTATGAATCTTTTTAAATTTATATAAATTAATTATTAATTGATATTTTATGCACTGCACATGCATTATGTGGATATCTTATGTAGGTGTGCTGATGCTCTGAAATTTTTATGAGATAATTGGACAACTGGTCAAATGAAAGAGGGTGCCTCTACTGTAAGAAGATGGGTGGAGTTGGACACTAACATATTGGTGAAAATCTTCCTGTCTTTTGATATCTTCTAGTTGACTTCAGGGATTGCTCACGTTTGTAATTCATGGCGTTCAGCTTGTTATGATCCTCTGCTTTGGAAAACTCTTGATTTATCAATGTTGAGATCAAATTTCATCAAAATCCCATTAGAACCATATGTTTACGTGGATGAGTGTTCTGATAAGACATTGACTCGTTTGTTGAAGATTTAGAAAAAAATGTATAAAGATGGAAATTACTCTGTTTTCAAACCTTAGCTTGGAAAGAATCCTATACTATGAGAAAAACAATAAATATCAAACCTGAAAATGAATTCACTATAAATTTTAAGTTCAAATAATTGATCTCCATAACATAAATTGATATTAATAATTATAAAGGTGCAATTATTAATTTCTGTACATATATAAAAGTTATATGTACTCTAAAACTTGTACATATATAGAAGTTATTTTTACAACCTATTCCAAAAATATTAAATAAACATACCCGTGCAACGCACGCGCCCATCGAATCAACGTCTCATGCCGGTCGATTGGCATAATGGACGCAATGGAAAAATGACTCTACAAATAAAATAACAAACACATATCCTCATCCCCTTGAAAACAAACACAAGAAAATGTAATCGATCTTACACAAGAAAATGTAATTGATCTTCATGTCAACATCGTTAACAAACAATTATCCATTCGTATAAAAACTAGTACCTAGAAAAGGAAACAACAAAAGTTAATTAATC